CCGCCTGACCTGGCCACGCGCGCGGGTGGCAGCCTCCCACGCGGCCGGGACCCGTGTCCCTCCTCCTGCCCCTGCGAACGGCGTCAGGCCGCCCATCCCGACGGCAGGCACGCTTGTACCCTGCCGGGGCCCCGTGGCTGTTTCGTGGGCGCCCGGGCCGTGGTAGCGCGGAACCCGAGCGCCTGTCCCCCGCCTCGCTGCCCGCAGGGGGCTTCGCTCTCTCGCCCGCCCCGGTGTCGGGGCGGCCGGGCCCCCCCAGTGCCTCCTACGCCCGGCCCCCAGGCTGAGCCTGAGGGAACAGAAAGACTGGCTCCCCGGCAGCGGGTGAGTGACGGGGTGCGGGGCCCCCACGGCCGCCTCCTGGCACAGGGAGCAGCCGCACTGGCCGAGGGGCGCCCCGGGGGGCAGGGCCAGGACGCGGTCAGCTGCCCGGTGTGCTGCAGCCTCGGGACAGGGCTGTGCGCTGGCCGGCGCCTGGGCTCTGCGGTCTCGGGCCTGCTCCTCTGGCGAAGGTGACGCCCGGGTCCCTGAGCGCCGCCGGGACGCGCTGGCCGGTCAGTCGCTTCACACGCGGGCGAGAACGAGGCGCGGTGCGCGCTCTGAGGGTCCTCCGGCTGCCTCCGGCCGGCCCTGCCCCGGGTGTGTCCTCGTGGCCTCTGCCGGCCCGGCCCTGGACCGCGTCCACTCTCGGGAGCTCTGTGAGTGGACAAGGGCCCCCAGGTGCCAGCGCCACCAGAATGGTTGGTATCCCGGCCAGGAGGGGCTGGCCACAGGGGAGCACCCCCCACCCCGAGACCGGGAGCCCCTTTGATGACCTTGGCATCTGAGCCCCACTCGGAGTTAGTCTTCAGCTGCGAGAGGCGGGAGCCGGAGCTGACGTGGCACGGCCCGAGGGTGGTGGTTTTCAGCTGACCTGCACTGCGTCCAGGGCTGCAGGCCCTGCAGTGGACGGGCCAGCAGTCGCGCCCCGCAGCTGGCGTCCGTCTGGGGAGCCATTCCCTGACCCGGCGGGGGTGGCTCCTCCGTGGCGATGGAGGGGTGGGCTCAGGCGCTGCCCTGGCGTCTCGGGTCAGCAGGGAGGCCTCGGCGGGCTGGCCGCCCTGCCCACGGCGACGGGAGTGGGGGGCCGGAGCCGTGCAGGGGGACGCTGACGGCCTCTGTCTTCCAGACCGGGAGGCCCCGGGGCTGTGGCGGCGGCCGTGAGGGCTCCAAGGTGGCGGGGGCGGCTGGCCGGCCCGGCCAGCAGGTAGGGCACTGGGCGGTTATTTCCGTTGTCCTTCAAAAGCCTGGGTCTTGGCCCGGCTGCCCGCGAAGCAGCCGGACGAGTAAAGGACAGCCAGGCCACGGCCGTGCCGGGACAGCT